AAAAAAAACTGTGTAACCATATTTAAATCTTTTTTTGTTGTGGTTTGTTTGTTTTTATCTTTTTTTTCATTTTGAAAAAGATTTGAAAGATTTTAAACATTAGCATATCATCTACTGATCATCCAGAGCGGATTAAAGGTGTCTCGCTCAGAATTTCACATGATTAAAATAAGGTCGAACTTGTCTGTTTGTTCGACTGATTTGGAAGAGAGAGACGGGTGTGCTATATGCTTTCAGTTTTTTCCCCTTGTCTTCATCCTTTTGTCTTGATGTAGTCTCTGGAATCCTTATAAAAGAGCCCAGCGAGTTAGTTATATAGGTAATGTTTAGCTACTACTGGTGTGTCTCAGTGTAACACTTCCTTGTTTAATATTTACATTGAGCTACTGCAGCCCCTTGGTGTAACACTAGCCAATAAGCTATATCTGTCTTTGGTTGGTTCCCTGGCCGGGACTCAAACCCGGGCCGTAGCGGTGGGAGCGCTGAGGCCTAACCACTAGTCCTCCAGGGATAAGCTAGAGTTACTACCTGTTTTATGGAGCTCATAACTAGATAGCTAGTTACCCATACAGCATGTAACCTTAGTATGATTTGGATTGAAATGAAAATGAATAGAATTTGCATTATAACAAGGGGCTGCTGTTTGAGTAAGCTAGCTAAACATTTTTTTTTAAAGTATTAAAGCTAGCTGGTTAGTGTTACACCAAGGGGTGGTCACTGGAGTAGCTAGTTTATTAGTTAGTAACTACCACTAATCTGCTGTTACACCAAGTGGCAATGCAATAGTTAAACACTACCTACATATATGCAAGACTATTTGGTCTTTCATGGTCAGGCGTGGTGAATAAATGAAATTAAAACCCAAATGTTGCTCATTCAGCCCTTTAAAGAACATCTTGTTTGTATTTTTATACTTTTTCTTATTATCGTGCCATTTTGTTCAGTCAGCACGTTCTGTTCATTAAAAAGTCACTGACCCAATTCATTAAAACAGGTCAATGAAAAAAAAATCAAGGCTTTGGAAGTGTTTTGAAAGTAAGAAAAGCAACATCACCCCGTCAACCCATAATGCACTGCAAGCATACATTATTTCTAACACGAGGAAATAGCAAGTAGAAAGTTTTGTAATATTCAAATGACTGTAATATAATGAGGTATGAAGAACAATTTTCCCTCTTTCCCTGTCAAGCTTTATATTCTTCGTTATGTTACCTCAAATCTGAACGGCTATTTAGCTTAGTAATTAGCTAACGATGACATTTCAAATGTTCTGACATCCCTTTTTCTTGCAACTTTCATGTGTCTAAGAACTCTTTAAAAACACTAGTGTTTATGAATAATAAAAATATATATATAAAGTAGCTAACTACTAAGCTAGTTAGCTATTTACAGCCACTTGGTGTAAAACTAGCCAGCTAGCTATCTGTATGGCTAGTTCTAGCTGGCTGTATAAGTTAGCAGACAGCCCTTCATTATAATGCTAGCTAGCTTGTTAAGAGCAAGCGAACACAAGCTAGCTAGCATCATTTAGGAATATCCAATTTCTTCTAAAATGTTCTCAGAATGCTACTGAATGTCTCTTCTGTGTTATATTTGTCTTCAGTGACTTTGTGGAATATCCTCAGGCTTCAGAAAGAGGCTCTATGAAAAGAGATTTATTATTTATTCATTCGGTTTGTTTATATGGGTGTCCACTTTTGTAAATACAGTATAAAGCTTCAGATTCTGTAAAGAAAAGAACTACTGTGTGGATGTGTTCCTTCACTGTATGTTCTACATTGTTTTTGATTGATTCCACTGAGGACACAGGAGTGTGAGGACTTCATTTCTTTCTGCCGGCCATTTTGATAACTGCATCAGAACCCGAGCTATGCCTTCTGGGTAAGTTTGGCTGCTCAAATCTATAGTGATGCCAACACACTTGACTTGAGATGATGGAGTAAGAGATGGAAGTCATGGATTCAGCCGAATGGACCCAAAATGAGGATGTGTTTAAAATCAGTACCGGAACACACAATGCGCAATGTGACTGTTCACTCTTTACCGTTATTGATATTTATTATCATATGGTCTACTGTAAATGCATTGTCTGCACATGACTTCAACATTGTGTAGCATTTTTTTAAAAAATTTAAAAATTCCAGTGGCTGCTCTCTGCACAAATTGTTAGTTTGAATAAAACACAAGACATGGCGAACTCCAGTGTGAGCAGTGATCTGCTTTTTTTTTTTTTTTTTCTTATAAAACATTTTATTTACAATACCACACATTCCCCTGACTGTAAATCATGAAATAATATTGCTGCTCCAACGTTCTTCCACTTCACTCTAAACTGGTAGTTATACGCTATACATAAACTGAATGTGAGTGCTTCCATCATGACTCAGAAATTTAATCTAGAATTGATGAGCAAGACAGCGGTGCAGTGCTCAAGCCGTCTGAGAGCGGTGGAGATCTATGTGTTTGCTTCAGCCAACATTTGGAAAATGTTCTTTCGTCCTCTTTTTCTGTTGCACTAGTAAACAGAAGCAGATGGAGGGATAAAGAAGGATTACTAAGGATTAGTGACAGGACTTTTATCAGTGTTGCGCATTAGGAAATAGGACAGTATGACTGATAATCAGAAGGTGAATAGATCAAACGCATTTTGATGTCAATCAAATCATTCTGAATTCAAAGTAGTGTACAGTACACTCAAACTTTTTCTCCCCAATTATTTCCATGAGACAAAGGCTGTAGAGCAAAATGACCTATTATTATAATAATAATAATAATAATTATTATTATTATTATTATTATTCTCACTTGGCATCATTTGGTGCCGTCCTGCACCTGCCAGTTAGGATCGCTGACTAAACTGAAAAAAGAAATTTGTGTTTTGTTGCTTCTTTTTTCATTGAATGATGATCCCTGTGAGTCACAACACAAAGGCCTTGTCTCTGAACACTCACAGTAATTCTATGGCGTGATTTCATTGTATGATACTGTAGATATTGATATGTTTGTAGCCTGATCATTCATATCACTCATATCACTCCTAGCCATCACACAAACTTTCAAAATGAAAGGAAACCAAATACCACGCGAGAGCAGTTCTCAGCATGACTAAATATTAGATGTGAATTGTTAAAAAGTACCTCCACCCTGGATTGCTGTTATTCTCCACTCTTTCTGCATATTTTTTCAAAACCTACGTTTTGTTAATGTGATTGTGGTGTTAATGTGAACATTACAGACATATGAGCATTCATATACCTGCGAAATGCAACCCAATGATGGAAACGTCAACCAAATCCAAAATGGCTTCCTATAGTACACTACAGTGTATGGAGCTGTTTGCAATCCAGCTTGTGTTTTAGCTGCTGCACTTTCGACTGTGCGAAAAACCTCACCGTGGTGTTAAGTTAAAGTTAGGTTAAAGTCTAAAATAAGTTAGAAATACTTAATAAGTTTCTTACTACTATTTAAGGTGGTGTGTTATTTGACTTTTGAACTATTTGGAACTATTAATACGAAATTGTATTAAATAGCTGTGTTAGTTAAAAACACAACAACAATCAACACTGCGTTCAGTAATACCAGCTGCTATCTCCCACTTCACTCTCATTTAATGCTACACCTCTGCACACAGACACTTACTGCACTAAACACACACATTTACACGATTAGAATACATTCTTTAGCTTGTCAAAATGCATGCACAAACACACACACAATCCAAAACACACATGCATATGTTTTTTTCAACACATTTTTTTTAACCTAGAAGGGCATATACATCCCAGAATACACACGTTCATCATTCTGGTCAAATTAAGTACACAGAAGTGCTCACTATAAGCATGCAATCATTCCTCAGCAACACACACACACACACACACACAAATGCTGCTGTGATGTGGCCATGTGTCCTGGACCGTAAATATGGCTTGGTCTGATAAGATAACGCGTAAAGAGACAGTAATAAACTCCAGCTGGGGAGGATCGTGAGTAAAGAGTAATGAAGCATTATGTGAGGAAAGAGAAGGCAATCGTGAGACAGAGAGGGGGGACGCCGGGTGAACGTGTGTGTCATCCACTGATAACATCCCTTTCGTCTTTTGATGAGGACAATGAGGCTCTAAAATGAATCTCACCTTCAGGTGCCAAATGGACAACACACACACACACACACACACACACACACAAAGCAAATGGAATTGACATATTTTAATATGTAGTGAACGTAAATTCATTTGAACTGATTAAAAAACAAAAACCAGTCGATCTCCGTATATAATGTCTACGAAGGCTGATAATGTCATAAAGCAGATTTATACAAGTGAAGTCTGTTTTCAATATCTCATGTTCATGGCTCTGAAATGCTTTTTTTTTTTTTTGCACAGTATAGAAAAAGCATTGGCTTTATTAGATGTTATAATGAAGAGCTGCTATGTAGCAAATGAGGTATGTGATCTAAGTAACCCTGGAAATATAAGGTTACAAATGCAAGGCATGTATTAGAGAAAAATGCCTCAGGTACTTCAGCATTTCGTTGAAATTACAGTCATTTTTTTTTTCTTTTAAATCTCATTTCCTTTTTTCCCCAGAATTAATGCAAAGTACATTCATTTGTGGAGCAACAGAAACTGGCACTCTGACCCTCGAAATGTCTTCTCCAGCAATGTGTTAGTGTACATTTTTGAAAATGCAAAAATTATGCTAATGTAAAATGTCCAAAAAAAAAAATTCCACTATTAACATCCATGTGTGTGTGTGTGTGTGTGTGTGTGTGTGTGTGCGCGCACATTTGTGTGGATCTGTGTGAGAAAAGCCCATAAGGAAAGCAAACCATAGCCATATTTGCCAAACACCCTCTTCCTTTCTCTTGTCCAATTCTTAGCCTTGCTCTGCTTCTCCAACTATAGAGCTTCTTAATCTGCCTTCTGAGCATTCAAAAATGAAATAAAATTAAAAGATCACCCTGCATCTTAGTACTGCTGCTTGCTGTGGCATGAATTCAAGCCAACAAATCTAATTTCAGCATTGCACATAGAACTTATCTTCTACATTAATGACTGGAAAATATAACTCCCAGGACTGAGGGTCCTACAGCTGTGTCTTAAGAAAAGGGCCCTTAACCCTCAAGTGCTCAGCTGTGTGCATGAATTGTGTAGAATGTCTAAATAATTGAATAATTGGATGATGTCGAATTATTTTTTAATTACTAATATATATATACTAATAAATAATATACTAATATACTAATACAACCTTGCATGAATATGGTTTGAATAAAAAATATATATAATTAACATGTAGTATGAATTTTAGGTTTGGTATTTTGACCACTAACATCACTTATCCATATTTGTTGAATAATACTGTGTTGTACAAGCTAATAATTATGGACAAGAAGTCTAGTTAAGAAATTCAATAATATTAAATTATATCACATTGACATTGGACATGGACATTGGCAAATGTCTAAATCCAAATTTGGAATCTGTTGCTGTTAACTCTCAATATGAA